ATGATGTCATCATTGGAATAGATTGGCTACGATACCACAACCCTAGTATCAATTGGAATGCAGGAAAGGTGGCATTAGACCGTTGCCCAGTTAAATGTCAAGAAGCCAAGGTCAAGGACAAAAAGACTAAGGCAAAGGAGCGAAGAGCCATGAACTCTTCAATCCTTTCGGTGTTGCCCAAGTTGATACCGGCAGAAGATGACGAAGATGAGGATATTGAGGAAGCCTCTATCCATCATCAGAGCTCGTCTAAACCTCTTGAGAGTTCCATTGCTGCCAGACTTGAGGAAGAAGAACAATCGGACCTTGCTACTACTGTTGGACACAGAGCTACCAAGAATGTGCCTACAATCGAGAAGGTTGAGGATGAAGATTCATCACAGAACGTGTGGATCAGGTACAAGAGCTCTGTAGCATCAGAGTTAGCGCAGCAGGAGGAGAAGAAGAAGAAGAAGAAGAAGAAGAAGAAGAAGGAAAAGAAGCCTGTAGAGGAAATGGTGCCAGACTGGCTCCATGACTATCTTAAGGTCTTCTCTGAAGAAGAGTCTACTCAATTCCCCGAGTCTAAGAAGTGGGATCATAAAGTAGATCTCAAGGATCCTAATGACCTTCCTCCCAATGCGAAAGCATATCCCCTGTCCCCTGCTGAAAATGACACATGTGAGAAGTGGTTGAAGCAGGAATACGATTTGGGACGACTGAGAGATTCTGAATCTCCAGTAGCAGCTCCTTTCTTCTTTGTTGCTAAGAAGGACGGAAAGCTTGGACCTGTCATGGACTATCGGAGGTTGAATGAGAAAACCATCCGAAATGCATACCCTCTCCCTCATTCTCAAGATCTCATCGATCGTCTCTCCGGTGCAAAACTCTTTTCGAAAATGGACATTTGATGGGGTTATAATAATATTAGAATGAAAGAAGGAGACCAGTGGAAGGCCGCCTTCAAAACTCCTTTTGGACATCATGAACCAGTCGTAATGTACTTTGGCATGATGAACTCCCCAGCTACTTTCCAAACTATGATGGACCAAATCTTCCAAGATCTTAAGGAAGGAAAGGTCATTGTAGTCTACATTGACGACATCTTGGTATTCACCAACAGTGATGTAGAGAAACATCGGAAGGTGGTACGTGAGGTACTACAAAGGTTGCAGGACAATGACCTTTATCTCAAACCGGAGAAGTGTTCCTTTGAGAAGAAAGAAGTGGAGTTTCTCGGTTTGATCATCAAAGATGGACACATCTCTATGGATCCAGTCAAGATTAAATGAGTTCAGGAATGACCCACTCCTACCTGTGTCAAAGATATCCAAAGATTCATGGGATTTGCGAACTTTTATCGTCAATTCATTCTTGGTTTCTCGAACATTGCCAGACCCATGAATGAGCTTATCAGGAAGAATGTACCATGGGAATGGATGGACAAGCAGGAGAAGGCTTTTAGAACCCTCAAAGACAATTTTACGTCTGCACCCATACTAGTCATGCCAGATGCAAATAAGAAACAGAAGATCGAGAGCAATGCATCTGACTATGCCACTGGTGGTGTACTTTCTCAGTTGGAAGAAGACGGACTATGGCACCCAGTGGCCTTTTTTAGCAAATCAATGCAGGATGCAGAGCGTAATTACGACATTCACAACAAAGAACTTTTAGCTATCATCTGTGCATTGGAGGAGTGGAGGCATTATGTGCATGGCACACCTCATCCGGTAGAGATCTGGATGGACCATAAAAACCTCGAGTACTTCATGACAAGCCAGAAGCTAACTCGTAGACAGGCGAGATGGTCCTTGTTCCATGCAGAGTACAACTTCACTCCGCAACACAAACCAGGAAAGGTTAATGACACTGCTGATGCTCTGTCCAGGAGGCCAGACCACAGAGGGGGGGTAGAAAATGACAATTCCGATCACGTGCTTTTGAAACCTGAGTTTTTCCATATCAAAGCTGCAAAAAGAGGTCAGATTCTGATAGAAGGAGAGCATTCGCTGTTGAAGTGTATCAGACACTGCACCGATTTGGATCCGGAAATCTGAAATGCTATCGAAACTCTGAAGAAGGCCCCTGTGCAGTTGAGAAACTCTGAAGAAGGCCCCGTACAGTTGAGAAAAGGATTGGAAGAGTGGAATACAGAGGATGGACTTATTCTGTTGAGAGGATTGGTCTACGTTCCCAATAATAAGGAAATTCGTCGCTCAGTGCTAGAGATCTTCCACAACTCGCCTGCAGCAGGACACATGGGACGTGCCAAGACTCTTGAACTTGTCTCGCGAAACTATTGGTGGCCTCAGATGCAGAAGTGGGTCAATGACTATGTAGATGGATGTGATCGATGCAAGCAAACGAAGGTGCTACCATCAAAACCCCACGGACCATTGAAGCCAAACGAGGTTCCAGAAGGGCCATGGCAAACCATTAGCTGCGACCTCATCACCAATCTACCCATCTCCCAGGGCAAAGACAGTATTTTGGTAGTCGTTGATCATTTCACAAAGCAAGCACATCTTGCTCCAACCACCAAAGATGTTGATTCTAAGGGAGTCGCGGACTTATTTCTCAATCAAATATGGAAGTTACACGGAACACCAAAGAAGGTGATCTCGGATAGGGGAACACAGTTTGTGTCCAAGTTCATGCAGGAAGTCTTGAAATGACTAGGAACCAAGTGGTCCATGTCAACAGCATATCACCCACAGACTGACAGACAGACGGAACGAGTCAATCAAGAAGTCGAACAGTACCTCCGACTCTTCACATCCTACCATCAGAATGATTGGGTTTCTTGGCTTCCAATTGCTGAATTCACGCATAACAACTCAGTAACTGTCACTGGACATTCCCCATTCAAATGTGTCTACAGATATAATCCCGAGTTTACGATTTCCCCTAATTCTTCCAACACGATTCCCCATGCCGACCAGAGAGTAGCTGAGATGAGGGAGGCACAAGAAGAGACGAAGGCAATGCTGGAAATAGCGAACGATCGAATGAAGCGCTTTTATGATCATAAGGTAAAGGACGCACCAGAATTCAAACCAGGCGACAAGGTATGGTTAGATGCGACAAACATCAAACAACGCTGTCCGAGCCAAAAATTGTCCGACCGCCGTCTGGGACCATTCAAAATTGAAGAGAAGACTGGTGAGCTAAACTACAAGTTGAAACTCCCTGTTAAATATCGCATCCACCCAGTTTTCCATGTGTCCTTACTCACCCCACATCAAACCTCTCGACTCGTTGATCGCCCACCTCTAACGCGTCCGCCGCCGAAGATTGTTGACCAAGTCCCAGAATATGAAGCAGAGCAAATATTGCAAAGCCGCCTATACAGGCGCAAGTTGCAGTATTTAGTAAAATGGAAAGGATATGCAGAATCAGATGCAACATGGCAGTCAGAAGAAGATGTGAAGAATGCGCCACTCATTGTAGCCAATTTTTATGCAGAAAACCCCAATGCGGTTAAATCAGCGCGGATCTCTACTTCAATTCTGACTACCCCTGATTTCCTCGAATGGAGACAAAAAAATATACGACCATCTTACATTCGCAAGGACGCTCATCCTAGAAAGGGGGTAATGTCACGAATCCCAAATATGAACCATTTTTCATTTCTCAGTTTTCCTTCAGCTACTTCCAGTACCTGAGCCGGTCACGTGACTCCTCATCATATATCACCCATTGCTTCGCCGATTGGCTCCCCTACTTCACGGGCTAGAACAATCTCGCTTCCTAAAGAAGAACCGGTCGGATCTTGGGTTTCTATTTAGTAACCATCTTACTCATTTGCTTATATATCATGATGTCATACTTAGTCATCCGCAGTATCGTACGACTCTTTTCTCATTGGCTGATTTCTTTCAGACTCCTATTCAATGTTATGTATAAAAGTAGGTTAGTTAGTGTAAGTACTCCTTAGACTTAACCTCTTCGTTTCCTACTGTTGTAGTGACTTAGATGTTCACACTCAATACTATCCTGTTCCTCATCATCTTTGACCAAATCCTAGTGGTTGTGAACTTGCCTTCATCATTATTGGTGAACATTGGTCATAACAGCGGCTCATAGTAAGACGAGGGCCTGGTTCACTTCTACTAAAGAGTAACATAAAGAGATTGATATAGCAAAACGCGTCGGGGAATGATGATTGATTTTAAACATAATTCGCGAGATAAATCTCAGCAGAATAGCACAGTGAAGTTTATCGAGAACGGCGACGTCCAAGATAAAGTTTGAGTCGGAGTGGTAAGAAGACTTAACCTAATGTTATGACCAACGTTCACCAATAATGATGAAGGCGAGCACACAACCACTAGGACTCAGTCAGAGAGGATAACAAACAAGATGGTATTGAGCGTGAACGTCTAAGTCACTACAACAGTAGGAAATGAAGAGGTTAAGTCCAAGGAGTACTTACACTAACTAACCTACTTATATACATAACATTGAATAGGAGTCTGAAAGAAATCAGCCAATGAGAAAAGAATCGTACGATACTGTGGATGACTAAGTATGACATCATGATATTTGAGCGAATGAGTAATATGGTTACTAAATAGAAAACCAAGCTCCGACTGGTTCTTCTTTGGGAAGCAAGATTGTTCTAGCCCATGGAGTAGGAGAGCCAATCGGAGAAACCATGGGTGAGATGTGAAGAGGTGAAGGTGTGACAGGGTGAGAAGTCATGTGACCGATTTGGGTATTGGAAGTAGCCAAAGGAAAACCAAGAAGTGAAAAATGGTTCATATTTGGGATTCGTGACAATCAAGCGTCTTCTCCGTGATAATGTTTTGGCGGACGAGGTAGCAAAACTCAAGGAAAGTGCGGAATGTTCGAACTACCTCTATGGGGACATGTCCCTCAATAGCAGGTAAATATACCTAAAATATCTACTGTAAAATAATAAATTTAAAATAGAAACAAACGCCACGGCTTACCTTCATTAATGCCTTGGAATTGTCGCCTGTCCACTGCTTGAATCCGTGTCCTTGAGGGAAGCGTCAAAGTCCAGCAAATGATGGGGTGGCCACAATTCTAAATCAAAGTTAGATAGTGGTATGTAATATTTATGTGAATCTCATACCTTCTATCAATGTCGTCCATGATACACTTGGCCGCCGTTTTTCCATGTGTCTGATCCAAGTACTTCTTGACCCAATCTACAATATGATCTTTGAATGTACCTTTTATCAACTGGTGCAAAAGGTCAGGGGCGATGAGCTCGTGAATGTCCGTTCGAGGGAAATTGTTTGTGAATGGCTAAAAGGTATCGTTAGTATATTAAAATGAATTATAAAGTTTGAACTTATGATGAGATCACCAACAATGCCATACTCATCCCATAAGTCACCAAGGGTTGCTTCTTCGACGAGTGCTTCTGTGTGTTCACAGCAGCGCTCACTGGCTGGTTTATCTAAATTGGTGCATGGTCCTAGACATCTGTTCAATCATTAGCATAGGTAATCAGTTGAGAGGTGTCATAACACCTACCTAGCACACCAGCCTCGAACAATACAGGCTCACAATACCTGTTCCTCGTAATCAGCAATGTAAGGTCCTAGACCATAGATGACACGCCGGAAATGACCATCACCGAAGCGCACAACTTCAGGCTTTGTCATGCCAGGCCAAAGCCTCTCAAGAATTCTGGTGAGGGACGACTGGAATAATTGGCGGTGAAACTTGCGGAACTTCAGATCAGAAGCATGTTCTTTTGTTGCTGTTGAAAGGATTAGTTAGCGATATGGAAGAAAGACACAAAAATAAGGATAGCGGGAAGAACAAGGTGAGAACGCGGTTTTATAGGACAAAGTTTAAGAAGAAACTAATGAGGTGTGGTGTGTTGATGAGGTGAGAACGCAGTTCTACAAGACAAAGTTTAAGAAGAAACTAATGAGGTGTGGCGTGTTGATGAGGTGAGAATGCAGTTCTACAGGACAAAGTTTAAGAAGAAACTGATGAGGTGTAGTAATCAAACGTACTTTTAGGTATAGCGAGAAATCCAACAATAGCGAGTGCCTCATGGTGTGCACACCGGACATTGTTGTGAACATTGCCTATTGAGGCGTAGAGAGGGTAATACTCATTATTTCCAGTTGCAACGGACACCATGGTTTTGTCACTGCCCAGGAAAACTGGCACAAATGTTGATCCATGTGTCTGTGGGTCAGTTGCAATTAAATCCTGAAGAATTTGTCAGAGGTTGTTCTGAGATAAACAGTAGTACAGTGGCTCAAAAAACTGTCCGCATGTTTTCACATTTTTCACTATCTATGATATTGTGTGAGAATGTACAAACACATCAAGGACATGCTGGTACCATATTGTAGTACTACTTCAGGGCTTCCAATTGAGCCCTATGGCGTGGGAATTGGTCGAGATATGGTGGAGATATGAGGCTTACAAAATGATGACTCATGCGGACAGTTTTTTGACTCAAGTATTTTACAGTGATAATCAGGTATTCTAGTACATTGTGTGACCTCCCTTGGCTTTAATTACTGCCTCTATCCTTCTAGGCATACTCTCAATCAATTTCTGGCAATATTCTGCTGTAATCCTTGCCCATTCCACTGCTACTCTCTCCCATAGCTCCTATACTCCTTTAGGGGGGGGGTTTCATAGGCTTGAAGCATCTTCTTGAGTATTCCCCAGAGATGTTCAATGACATTGACATCAGGGGACTGTGCTGGTCAGTCAAGAACATTGATATTATGTTCTTTAAACCATTGTCTGGCTCTCCTAGATGTGTGCTTGGGATCATTATCCTGTTGGAAAATGATGTCTTCTTCATCAATCCCTGAGTCAGCTATGCTAGGCAGCAAGTGGTCATTTAGAATGTTCACATACTGCTCAGCATCCATCCTCCCCTCAACTTCAGTGGGCATACCCACACCATTCCATCTCATACAGCCCCATACCATTAGAGAACCTCCTCCAAATCTGACATCCTCACTAACCTCTCTGTCTGTTAAAAAATCTCTCTTCTTTTTCCATACATATACCTTCCCATCTGACCCAATCCTATTGATTTTGGTCTCATCTGAACATATAACATGCTTCCAGTCCTCTACAGTCCAGTTTTGATGGGCCAAGCCAAAGGTAGTCTTTTCAGCCTATGTTTAATAGAGATAAGAGGCATTTCTTCTTTGTTACTGCCTTGAGATGAGCTGCCTTGAGAACATTCCTCACAGTTTGTGAAGAGACAGTGGTGGTGATGGTGGAATTGGTATAATGGGTGGCTTGGAGGGCATTATTAGCCTTTCCTGTAGTGATATGTTGGATGATAGCCCCCTTATTAGCAGAGGTGGACATCCTCCACAAGAGTTTTCCTTGTCCAGGTGGCTTTCTTTGATACACTTGGCTGCAGTAGACTTGCATACTTCAGTTCTAGAGGAAATTTGATGAGCAGAGAGGCCAGCATAGGACAAAGAGAAGATATTATCCCTTTGAGTAGAGGAGACGGCTTTCATGGTAATTATGACCATGACACATGAGACATTCTGGTTTATATAGTTAGATATAGTTTTAAGAGTATGCCTAGAAGGATAGAGGCAGTAATTAAAGCCAAGGGAGGTCACACAATGTACTAGAATACCTGATTATCACTGTAAAATACTTGAGTCAAAAAACTGTCCGCATGAGTCATCATTTTGTAAGCCTCATATCTCCACCATATCTCGACCAATTCCCACGCCATAGGGCTCAATTGGAAGCCCTGACGTAGTACTACAATATGGTACCAGCATGTCCTTGATGTGTTTGTATATTCTCACACAATATCATAGATAGTGAAAAATGTGAAAACATGTGGACAGTTTTTTGAGCCACTGTACCTATGGCTTGATTCCAGGCCCAATCACCAGACATAAAGTCCTTCCATTGGCAGACATCGCCATCAGTTGAAAACTTGCGATATGGGCGGTAATCAAACTCTTGTATGTAGTCGGGGTTCCCAAGCATGTTCCAAACAATCTGATGCAGGTCTCGGTACCAAACATCAAATGTTTGATCCATCCAGGATGGTGCAATGTCCGGTTGTGCACCAGTGTATTGCACAGAAAAAGACTGCCATTTCACATTGCCAACTGGAATGTTGTCAATGGTCTTGTAGAGATTGTGATAGTCAGCAAACAGAGGTCTATCATTGTGCTTGGTGAGAGTTGATGCCCACAGATCAAGCAATCTGTTAATTTGAGTTGCTGGCATCTGATTTTCGATGAAAAAGAACTCAGCTGTCTTGAATTCAGTGCGATTACAGAATGGGGTATAGTCATTGGGAGTTTTTTCAGACAGAGGCTCCGGCACACTTCCAGGTGGAAGGAATGTACCATGTGCATCACAAGGACGAGCTAGAAATTTTAAATAAATGAATGTAGTGCAAGCAAAGCGGAACATAATTACCATCAAGTGCCTTATGAAAGTTTCGATACATGGGGTCTCCCGGACCCCAAAACTCAGTGTCGACATTGGGAGGTGGTGGCAGGTGATGGGTCTTGTCTTCGATGTATTGATCTTGATGCTCAGGCTCTTGATAATGGCCTGCCGGCACAATGTGATTTTCAGGAGCCGGGTCTTCAGCAATATTGCGAGGTAAATTTAGAATTATAGGGTGGGCTGAGTTCCAATGTTTTGTGTGTCCTGCGTGAGTTTTGAAAAAACACCAACAACTTCCATGCCTGCAAGGTAATTGCAGAGTGTTGTGTTCTCACCAAGAGTCTTGGTTCCTCAGGATGATCTGAGGCATCAAAGGCAAAGGAAATATAAAAAAGATAGCGGTGCGATAGACAAGAATTCATAGTAAAAAGCGAGCCTGGCGCCGCCATCCGAAAACACATTGGTTGTGTTTGGAGTCAGGGTGAGGACCGTGAGGTACTTCAGAAAATTTCAATGTGAAATCCCTAGTCCCTGCTCATTCCCAACAACCACCAGCCCTACCCTCTTCCCTATCAGCCATGTCTGCAGAACCCACTGCTCTGCGTCGCACTCATCCATCTAACGCCAACAAACATCCTGGTGAGATCGTCCTTCAAGCAAAAGGTCATCAACGTACCGCAGAGGAGATGGCTGTTGCCAAAGCCACAGAAGCCGAAAAGGCTACAGCCACTCAGGTAGGCATCCAGCGCTTGGCTAGGATAGAGCTTGACATGGAGGAGAAACAGGCTGGCACACTGACCAAGAAGGCCAAACCAGTGCGCCCTCCTCCAAAAGGAAAGGCTAAGGGTAATAAGGCTATCTCTGAAAAAGAGAAAAGCCTTCCAGCAGTTGCCAATGGCAAGGCTCAGAATGCAGCATTGGAGAATAACGCTGATATTGAAGGTCTCAACAATGGTCCTGATAAGAGGAAGAAGAAGAAGGGGATCAGAGGATCCATCAATCACGCACCATGATGGCGGCAGTGATAACAAGGGGCCAACACATGCTGATAAGGGCAGTGAGAACACACTTGCATGAGTCTCTCACAGCTTCTGGTCATACTCTTACTGACAGAATCAACACTTTTCTTCCTAAATCTAACTTCTGACTGCACTGGCAGAAACCCTAACTTCACACTCAGCGGGAAGATCCAGAACTGGATCTCTGGTGTTGACAAACCCTTGAAGCCTCACACACCAGCAACTCAGACTTCCAACTCAGTTCCCCCTTCCACTATCTTCACGCACCTCACAGAGACTTCCCAAGTCACTATCGAAAGCGCTACCTCGGCCGGGACTGGTGGGAAATCTGGTGGTGTCCTTGTTGGAGGCTTTGATGATGAAGAGCCAGAGGATGATTCTTTGGAATGCCAGGTTGCTCAATCAACGGTCAAGAAAGGCAGGGAGGCTGCGGTGATTTTTCCTTTCTTTTAAAAAATATTTTATGCTACTGATTTATGTTTACAGACTACCATCGCACTCATGCTCAATGACTCAGATGATAGTCTATACGATGATGGGCCTAGGGCTCCATTCACTCAGAGTAGCAAGGCACGGCCAGTACCTCACCTCAGGCCCATCCCCAAAAGGAAGGCAGAGGAAATCCTGGAGGTTTCGTCTGCTAGCGAATTCAAAGACATCAACGCTGCTCAAAGTGACGACAACCTACTATCGGATATCGACCATGACAACTATTTGATGGATGTTGATCCACCCCAATCAGACCTCAAGCTGACGACATCCCAACCTGTGGTCAAGCAAGGTCCTGCTGACACAGGAGTACTCATGAGAATGCTGTTGAAGCTGCAGAATGCTTGCCACACTACAAATTCGGTGAGCACTTGACCCTTTGTACGAATCCCCACTGACTCATGTATTTGTAGGTATCCGTCAAAACTGTAGACACGAATGCTCCAGCAGCCAAGAGGGTGAAGACTGAACCGATCACAGGGCCAATCAGTGTTACTCCCGCACAGGCCCAGCCTGGAGTTCAATTCGACATGCCTATGGAATCAGCAAAACCCCGAGCACAATACTGGATCACCGACCTACCTGCGCCAGTCCAGGCAGACCACCGCTGGGCCAAGAAATTCTGCCCGACCATGATCTTGTGGATGGGGAGTCTCGAAGACGACCTCATTTGGACCATCACAGATGTGAAGTTACTCAAGCACATTCAAATTATATTTGATGTGGTGTACCCAGAGCTCAGCCTTAAAGTGGCTCAGAATGGTGTTATATTCTCGCTCGTAAGTTTTTTTCCTTCTTTCACGGCTTACTTGTATTTTTGACTGCACTTTAACTAGACAATTCAACGCCTCTCTGAATGGCGTAGCACCTTCGGCTCAACAGCCATTGCACTCATCATTGATTTCTTGCTAACCAACGCAGACTGTGACTTGCAGGTTCTCTCACACCTCCTCTTGAAGGATTACGCCTTCCTCTTCGGAGACATGGACCTACGTGATCCCCTTGGAGTGTACCACTCTGCCTTCATGCTTCAACTCTTCGGAAAGGCACACCTTGCCTGCATTGGTGGCCACATCAACATCCCCACACTAAAGACTCACACCTTAGCAACCAGTGGAATGGTAGGCACCTTCTCACTTTGTGCTGCAGCTGTAAGACTTCTGTTTTTCTGCTGTGGATGACTGTTGACTTTGGCCTCTGCAGCTCGAGTGCGCCGTTGAAATGATCGCCAATGGTGATATCAAGGCTGAGGATATTTTAGCCACAACATCATCCACCAAGACCAGCATTAAGCTGCTGAAAGTCCTCAACAAGGTCACTGGAAAGGAGATGAGCATCCCCTTTCTGTTCTTGTGTGATAGGTGTGCCAAGAAGACGAAGAATTACGCCAGGTCCATCAAGAAGAAGGGAGTGGCCTTCGTAGTGTCTTTGACGGAGATCGCACGTTCAGCATGGAAGGAAAATGTCTGGCCCGCGGACTCAACTGTCACAGATGATGAGTCCAAAGATGAATGTGCCTTGCTGTGTATCTATGCACTACCTATTTTCATTTGTATTTTTATTGAATTGTGGGTGCTTTTGACAGAAATCTTCGACAACATCACATCCACGCACTGCTTTAGCTGGTAACCATTCTACTATACTCCTTTTCTCTGCTCTGAACCCCGTCCAGATTTCGCCTCAAGTGTCTTCAAGGCTGTCTTCATCACTCTTGTGCACTGCTGTCATCATTTGCGTCTTGCCACTCGTTTTTTAGCCGCATCAAGTTTTGCATTATTTCAGGTCTATAGTAGTACCTCCTCCTGCTCTCTAACTGCTTTTTACTACGCTATATTTCTGCATGTTGCCCCCTTAATTTCCACACTTTTCACTCAGACGGTCCCTTTTCATTTGCTTTTCCACTAGTTTCAGCACGCTTGTTATTAAATAAAAATTTGCTTTGCATGCTGAAAAGGAAGACAAGTGAAAGGAAAGTAGAATTCCAGACAACAAGTGGCCTTTTTCAAATGGCTATCTACTTATTTTCACTCTTGCTTTTTTGTGCTTTTTGGACGAGAAAAGTAGAATATAAGGAAGGTAAGGAACCGGGTGTTTTACTGATGTGAATGCTTTATCAGGATGTGACCCCAGAGAGTCACCGTAAAGGATCTGTGAGCTTGAAAAGTTGATGACTGTTGCCACCCAGTGATTTCCATTTATGTTGGTGACAAAACCAACACTTGACTGTCTTCTGAACCCAGAGGCAAGTGTGTGGCCTAATCCATGAGCTCGAGCAAAACAGTTTCGTCCAAGTGTGTATGCCCCGGACTCTCTCTCCTTGTATGCTGACTTTAAGTAGGCATGAAAGTACAGACTCTCGATCTCGACATTGGTATCAGGTAGATGTTGTTTGATGCCAGTTCGGAGGAGATCCAACATCTGATTCTCGTGCACATCAAATAGCCAATCATGTGTTATATATATGGTGAGATGGTGCATGGCTACCTGATTTTCGAAGCCTAGGACATTTCCTGACCAGGGTAAGCTTCCAAGCAAGTTATAAACTTGTTTGATCAGGTCATGAGTGTCCTGCCTATAGGCTGCTTTCCATGAGCAGCTCCGGCTCTCCAGGATGTGCTCTGCTTCAATCCAGTGCTGACAGCAGTTTCTTCGAAGGTGAAGGACCTCTGCCCAATAGGTAATCACCCACAATGGCAGGCAAGTTTTACTGTCTATTGGGGTATGTGGGCATTGAACTGAGACCTTTTGTTGCTCAAGGGCAGCTCGAAGGCCTTGATCAAGGAGTTTCTCAAGAAGTGAGGAAGGTGGCAGAGGTATAGATTTGATTTTGTTGAGATCTTCAACATTTGGCTGATCATGGCTGAAGTAGGCTTCCACAGAGATATTGCAGTCGATTTTTGAAATCACTGGAAGTGGGAATTTCAAGAAGGCAATGATGGATAGGGATGGATCTGGAAGGAGCTCAGTGATAGCAGTTGAAGGAAGCTGTAGTTGGTGAGGGATTTTGGTGGGGGGCATGTTGTATCTGAGTGCTACGAAATTTTCAACTTGAAGTTGATCAGACTCGGACAGTGGCAAAATTGTTGCTCATTCACAACTCGGATATTGCTCAGGCATCTCTACTTTACTTACTACATGGGTGGCAATAGAAGATGTGCTTAGAGCTGCGGAATTCATGATCTGGTAGTCAAAATTAACATGGTTGAAATTAACTTCTGCCAAAAATTTCTGCACTGTCATGTGTCACCCTCAAATGCCGAGGTGACGAAATGCACCTGGCTTTCCCAATAAGTAAGCCTTATTAAGCTTGGTGATCACGCACCTCACCAAGCCTAGTTAGGCTTGAATGTGCTAAATTCTCAACACCTTTTACTACATACTATCATTGCCTTTCAGTGCTTTCACTGCTTCGCTACGATGTTTCACTGCTTTGGCTGACTCTGTACATTCCACACTCACTGCCTACTACTTAGTAGCATACTACTGGGTGTCCTAGGAGGGTGGAAGATGCCTATAAACATTCGCATAGCAAGTTTTAAGACATACCCTTGAGTAGTGGTTGAGGTAGATTGAAAATGAGTGGTTATTTGCAGAGTTGCACTTCGGACACATATGGTAATTGGATGCACAATGCATATATACACCTCAAACCACCATTTTCCCTGCAACTCAACTACAACTCAAGGGTATGTCTTAAAACTTGCTATGCGAATGTTTATAGGCATCTTCCACCCTCCTAGGACACCTCTGGGTCAATATACATACCCCAGGGCCCCTCTAGGAGCAAGGTGAGTGATATTCCCCCTCTTCAACATTTTTCTTGATAACTCACCCTACATTTATCCACAGCCATTCCCCTTTTATATACTAATTATATAGAACCACCTTCATTATTTTATAATGTCTCAGCCCTTGGTACTCTTGCTGGACACCTCCCTTGACTTGGTGAGTCTCATAGTTCGCTTTTTTGGTGTTTTTTTTTTTGTTTCTAACTTGCCCTCCTCTCAATCCCTACACTTACAGCTATTTACAGTCACTTATATACATGTTTTGCACCATCTAGTGCACTAGTACTTCGCTCTAGATCCCCTGGTAAGTCTCCCCTTTATTTTTCATGTTTTTGTAGTCTCCCCCCCTGTGTCCCTGCTAATCAATTTATCGCCCACCACAGTATCTCATATGGCTCTAATAGAGTCATAATACACTCTCTGAACACCGCTTGAGTACCCCTTTTATTTTGGAGGGGCTATCTTAGGTTCTATAACACCTACAGTAGTCCCCCTGGTTTGGGGCGCATTTTTACTATCCTGGTGCCCCCATTCACTTTCCCCTTGCTAATATATGATTATAGGACACCTATAACTGATTCTCTTATGCACAGAACCATATAGTCCGCCTCCTGCCCTCTCCTACCCCCATTTCCCCCTTCAGAACACCTTCCCCAGCATCCAGGTGATTTTATTTCGCATTTTTTACTATATAGGGTGACACTCTGGGTCCTCTAGATGAAGGTGGAGGAGCTGTAGTACCTTAGTTTCCCTCATACATACACACACACTTATTTTATTGTTAATTAATGTTTAAAAATGCGAAATCATTGTTATTAAATGCATTATAATATAGTACAGCGAAAAAATTACAAGAAAAGGTGTTGAAATCATGTTATACTTGAGCTCACTGTTGCCCACAGCGAGCACGAAGGTTTCGGCAACGTGCAGGAATGGCCGAAAAGTGTTGCTTACCCGATTTGGTTTTACAGCTGAAAAACAAAAAACACTCAAGGCAATTGCGTGATTTAGGGCAATATTTAACGCTGGTGTTGAGAATTTAGCACATTCAAGCCTAACTAGGCTTGGTGAGGTGCGTGATCACCAAGCTTAATAAGGCTTACTTATGTCGAGAAATTTACAGTGGTGCTCAGCCAAAACACCAAGCGAGAGCACATGACCACAATCAATTCCCTTTTCAAGGTGGGATTTGCTGACCTCACTGGCACATGACCAGGTTTGTGTGACAGGCGTGAGTTTTGGTTGAAAAAAACAGAGTGTTTCAACAAATGCGCTGGCGGGACGGAACAAACACGAGTGGGGTGCGGGCATGATTAGCAATGGCAAGTGGTAAGGTAGAGTATCAGTAGTATGCTACTAAGTAGTAGGCAGTGAGTGTGGAATGTACAGAGTCAGCCAAAGCAGTGAAACATCGTAGCGAAGCAGTGAAAGCACTGAAAGGCAATGATAGTATGTAGTAAAAACAGGACCGGTATCACTTGTTGCGAGAGATACGGTCCCCTCGTGCAGCGTGTGCCTTGTTCACAGCCTTCAGAAGTTGTGTGTGCCCTAGCTCAGCCTCTGGATAGGCTGCGAGGAAGTGTGCCTCATTCGACTCGTACCTGGAGCTGAAACAGAGGGTTAGCAGTGCTGGCAGAGTAGATACCAGCGCAGGGACTTACTGATTAATGAACTCCAGCGTGATTGTTGCACATTGGTGGTACTTTGATGCGAACCGTCTATTTGCACCTTGGTACCAGTGCCTTGGCCAGTCCTTCAGTGGCATTGTCAGTCCTTGGTCTCGATCGCCAACAAGCCAGTGTTCGACAATCTCCTTCCAGGAGTTGTGCTTCGGGCTGGTGGTTCTGTTGGGATGAGAGACTGGGACCTGAGGGATCACAAGGCCAGGTGTTGGGAGTTTCTGGGTACTTGAAGCCTGAGTGATGCTGATGGGCAGCGTGGTGCAGAGTTGTTGTGACGAGGTGTGGATGGATGGCTCGGTGGTAGGGAGAGTGTGGCTGACGACGGGCCTGGGTAAAACTGGCTGTTCGGCTCTCGCACATATGTCTCTGACAGGTGGAGTTGGTGTGTGGGAGGCACACTCAGAGACGTTGGTGAAGTGGGGGCCTGAATCGAGACACTGGAGAGCGATTACTGTGGCACAGGCAGCCTGTGCTACAACACTCGTTAGGGAGCGCATGTCATTGCGAAGGGAGTTGACATCTGCTGAAACGGATGTGTGCACCATGCGAAGCTCTTCTGTCGATGCTGGTCTGGTGAGAGCATGTTTGCCAGCAAGGGAGGCATCAGCACCGTGGGAGATGGGGGCAAGGGCATCACTGTAGTCAGTCTCATATGCATGTAGTTCATCAAGGAGGTAGCGAACGAGTGTATCACGCTGAAAATAGACACAATGAGAAAAAAAATGCTGCATCAGTCAAGTGTCAGTCATAAGAACATGAGACATACCTGCTCGCCATCAGCCCATCCACCCCACCAACGAACTTTAGCAAGTGTCCACCGCTGGCCCACTGGAGCAAACATGAACCAATATTGCGCACCTCCCCGATGAAAGCAGTGAGTTGAGAAGTTACCACGGATGCCAGCGCCAGCGGTTGACTCATTGATCCATTTTTGTACGGTATCGTGAGAGATTGGCTGTCCAGGATGCACGACACCATTTGCACTCATCGCAGGAAAAATGAAGTCGTTCGGCTGGAGAGTTCACCCATAGTGAAATGATTCAAGCCACTTGATCCAAACTAACATCCAGAAGAAATTGTCGCAGGCTGGCATGTTGGGGCGTGGATAAATCTTGTAGTGATTTGCTGCCAGTGGTGAGGTCATTTAGTCATCCAGCTTCAATTTAATGTGAGCAACTCACATCTCAGATCTGCTTCCCATTGGCCCTTGTCCACCTTCTTTTGCCATCCTTTCCGGTGAGTGAGAAAGATCTCGAAGTACGATGTGCATTTACTGTTATGACCCACGTCCAACAATAATGTTGAAGGAGAGCTCACGACCACTAGGACTCGGTCAGAGATGACAATGAGTAACAGGATTGGATTGAGCGTTGAACGTCTAGGTTACTACAACAGTAGAAACAAAGAGGTTAAGTCTAAGGAGTACCTATGCTAACTAGCCTACTCTTATACATAACATTGAATAGGAGTCTGAAAGAAATCAGCCAATAAGAAAAGAGTCGTATGACTACTGCAGATGACTAAAGATGACTCATGATATATAAGCGAATGTATAAGCGAATGAGTAAGATGGCAATTAAACAGAAACCCAAGTTCCAACCAGTTCTTCTTTGGGAAGCGAGATTGTTCTAGCCCGTGGAGTAGGGGAGCCAATCGGAGAAGCAACGGGTGACCTATGACGTGGAGTCACATAACCGGCTCGGGTACTGGAAGTAGCCGAAGGAAAACCGAGAAATGAAAAATGGTTCGTTTTAGGAATTCGTGACATTACCCCCTTTCTAGGATGAGTGTCCTTGCGAATGTAAGATGGTCGTATATTTTTCTGTCTCCATTCGAGGAAGTCAGGGGTCGTTAGAATTGAAGCGGAGATTCGCGCCGATTTAACCGCATTTGGGTTTTCTGCATAAAAGTTGGCTACAATGAGTGGTGCATTCTTCACATCTTCTTCTGATTTCCATGTTGCTTCTGCTTCTGCATATCCTTTCCATTTTACTAAATACTGCAACTTGCACCTGTATAGGCGGCTTTGCAATATTTGCTCTGCTTCATATTCTGGGACTTGATCAACAATATCCGGCAGCGGACGCGTTAGAGGTGGGCGATCAACAAGTTGAGAGGTTTGACATGGGGTGAGTAACGACACATGGAAAACTGGATGAATGCGATATTTAACCGGGAGCTTCAACTTGTAGTTTAGCTCACCAGTCTTCTCTTCAATTTTGAATGGTCCCAGACGGCGGTCGGACAATTTTTGGCTCGGACGGCGTTGTTTGATGTTTGTCGCATCTAACCATACCTTGTCGCCTGGTTTGAATTCTGGTGCGTCCTTTACCTTATGATCATAAAAGCGCTTCATTCGATCGTTCGCTATTTCCAGCATTGCCTTCGTCTCTTCTTGTGCCTCCCTCATCTCAGCTACTCTCTGGTCGGCATGGGGAATCGTGTTGGAAGAATTAGGGGAAATCATAAACTCAGGATTATATCTGTAGACACATTTGAATGGGGAATGTCCAGTGATGGTTACTGAGTTGTTATGCGTGAATTCAGCAATTGGAAGCCAAGAAACCCAATCATTCTGATGGTAGGATGTGAAGAGTCAGAGGTACTGTTCGACTTCTTGATTGACTCGTTCCGTCTGTCTGTCAGTCTGTGGGTGATATGCTGTTGACATGGACCACTTGGTTCCTAGTCATTTCGAGACTTCCTGCATGAACTTGGACACAAACTGTGTTCCCCTATCTGAGATTACTTTCTTCGGCGTCCCATGTAACTTCCATACATGATTGAGGAATAAGTCCGCGACTCCCTTAGAATCAACATCCTTGGTGGTCGGAGCAAGATGTGCTTGCTTTGTGAAACGATCAACGACTACCAAAATACTGTCTTTGCCCTGGGAGATGGGTGGATCGGTGATGAGGTCACAGCTAATGGTTTGCCATGGCCCTTCTGGAACCTCGTTTGGCTTCAAAGGTCCGTGGGGTTTTGATGGTAGCACCTTCGTTTGCTTGCATCGATCACATCCATCTACGTAGTCATTGACCCATTTCTGCATCTGGGGCCACCAATAGTTCCGCGAGACAAGTTCAAGAGTCTTGGCACGTCCCATATGTCCTGCTGCAGGCGAGTCATGGAAGATCTCTAGCACTGAGTGACAAATGTCCTTATTCTTGGGAACGTAAACCAATCCTCGGAACAAAATGAGTCCATCCTCTGTGTTCCACTCTTCCAATCCTCTTCTCAACTGCACAGGGGCTTTCTTCAGAGTTTCGATAGCATTTCGGACTTCCGGATCTAAATCAGTGCAGTTTCTGATACGCTTCAACAGCGAATGCTCTCCTTCTATCAGAATCTGACCTCTTTTTGTGGCTTTGATATGAAAAAACTCAGGTTTCAAAAGCACGCGATCGGAATTGTCATTTTCTACCCCCCCTCTGTGGTCTGGCCTCCTGGACAGAGCATCAGCAGTGTCATTAACCTTTCCTGGTTTGTGTTGCGGAGTGAAGTTGTACTCTGCATGGAACAAGGACCATCTTGCCTGTCTGTGAGTTAACTTTTGGCTCGTCATGAAGTACTCGAGGTTTTTATGGTCCATCCAGATCTCTACCGGATGAGGTGCGCCCTGAACATAATGCCTCCACTCTTCCAATGCGCGGATGATGGCTAAAAGTTCTTTGTCATGAATGTCGTAATTACGCTCTGGATCTTGCATCAATTTGCTGAAAAAGGCCACCGGGTGCCAAAGTCCATCTTCTTCCAACTGAGAAAGTACACCACCAGTAGCGTAGTCAGATGCGTCGCTCTCTATCTTTTGTTTTTTATTCGCATCTGGCATGACTAGCACTGGTGCGGAAGTGAACCTGTCCTTCAGAGTTTTGAAAGCCTTCTCTTGCTTGTCCGTCCATTCCCATGGTACATCCTTTCTGATGAGTTCATTCATGGGTCTGGCAATGTTCGAGAAACCGAGAATGAATTGACGATAAAAGTTCGCAAATCCCATGAATCGCTGAATGTCTTTGACACAGGTGGGAGTGGGCCATTCCTGAACTCCTTTAACCTTGACTGGATCCATAGAGATGTGTCCATCTTTGACGATCAAACCAAGAAACTCCACTTCCTTCTTCTCAAAAGAACACTTTTCCGGTTTGAGATAGAGATCATTGTCCTGTAGTCTCTGTAGTACCTCGCGCACTACCTTCCGATGTTTCTCTACATCACCATTGGTGAAGACCAAGATGTCGTCGATGTAGACTACAACAACCTTGCCTTCCTTTAGATCTTGGAAGATTTGGTCCATCATAGTTTGGAAGGTAGCTGGGAAGTTCGTCATACCGAAGTACATTACAACTGGTTCGTGGTGTCCGAAAGGAGTTTTGAAGGCGGCCTTCCACTGGTCTCCTTCTCTCATTCTGATATTATTATAGCCCCATCGAACATCCATTTTCGAAAAGAGCTTTGCACCAGAGAGTCGATCAATAAGGTCCTGAGAGCGAGGGAGAGGGTATGCATTTCGGATGGTTTTCTCATTCAACCTCTGATAGTCCATGACAGGTCTGAGCTTTCCGTCCTTCTTAGCAACAAAGAAGAAAGGAGCTGCTACTGGGGATTCGCTATCCCTCAGTCGTCCCAAATCATATTCCTGCTTCAACCACTTCTCACATGCGTCATTTTTGGCGGGGGACAGGGGATATGCCTTCGCATTGGGGGGAAGGTCAGTAGGATCCTTGAGGTCTACCTTGTGATCCCACTTCTTAGACTCGGGGAATCAAGTAGACTCTTCTTCGGAGAAGACCTTAAGATAATCATGGAGCCAGTCCGGCACCATTTCTTCTACGGGCTTCTTTTCCTTCTTCTTCTCCTCCTGCTGCGCCAACTCTGATGCCACCGAACTCTTGTACCTGATCCACACATTCCGTGATGAATCCTCATCCTCGACTTCCTCGATCTGCACCTTCTGACCAACAGTAGTAGCAAGGTCCAATTGTTCTTCATCCTCAAGCCTGGCAGGTATGGTACCCACATGTCCTTGCATTTTAGAGCTGAGGCTGTTCGACTGAACCTGATGATGGATAGAGGCTTCCTTGATATCCTCATCTTCGTCATCTTCTGTCGGTATCAATTTAGGCAACACAGAAGGGATCAAAGAGTTCGTGGTCTTTCTCTTCTTCACCTTGGTCTTCTTGTTCTTGACCTTGGCTTCTTGACATTTAACCGGGCAACGGTCTAATGTCACCTTCCCTCTGTTCCAATCGATACTGGGATTATGGAATTGTAACCAATCTATTCCAATGATAACATCATCGGAACCTAGGTCTGTGACCAGAAAGGCTACTTCTTCCTTATGATCCCCTATGGTAAGCTTCAAGTCTGCGTAATGCGTAATTGGCCCGGTGGAATTGTCTGTTTCGTCAATGTTACGGATCGACATTGGTCGCAACAACTGCTTAATCTGAACTTGATTTTTTTCTACGAATTTTTTGCTGAGGAAAAGGTTTCTGGCTCCACAATCCACTAGAGCATTGACAGCTGCTTTTTTGTGTTTCCCTTCCAACATAACTGGCAAGTAGAAATGGTCTTGTTTATTCCCAGAACAAACTTCTGATACTTCTGCAAACATAATTGCCGAGTCACCGAGAATGGAAAAATGATTTCTCTGATCTAAGTCCGCAGTCGACTTCGATCTTCCTAAAAACCCTTCTGCTCTTCTTTCTTCGCGGGGTTATACATGGTGGAGAGGCAAATCCTCTCGTTAATGATGCGGTTAATATCTTCCAGGGTGAGTGCTTTCACCGCTGGAACTTCTTCCACCTTGCCGGTGTGGACAGCTGGTCCTTTGCCCTTGGTGTTGAGTGGCTTTCCTGTGCAATTACGGGCCATATGCCCTTCTTCTCCGCAGTGATAGCATTTGAATGGCTGCCCCTGCGCGCGGGGTCTGCCTCCTGCTCTGGTTGCATCTACATCCATCGTGTTTCCTCCCTGCGACGTGGTCTTGGGTGCTCCAGCTGGTGCAGGTGGAACAGCGGG